CGTGAGAGGAGACACATAAGAACGGCGGGCATGAGAGACACGCACAGGTGAAGACAGGGAAACACGGCAGTGAGATCCAGCAGAGGAACCACACACACACGGCAGCGAGATGCGGCAGAGGAACCACACACACACGGCAGCGAGATCCGGCAGAGGAACCACACACACACGGCAGCGAGATCCGGCAGAGGAACCACACACACACATACAAGTGCACACACCCATCTTAGCTGTCCATCGTGTCCGATGATGACACTTGCTCCGGTGAGCGGGAGTTAGAATTGGGGAGGGGGCCACAGGCGCACACACGCATACAGAGACACGCAGACATGCACTAACACACACGCTAATAATAAATATGGGTTTGTTAAGGTATGATTTTCATCACTTTTGAACTTTCCGGTTCTCTGATGATGACGCACCCCAAAGTTTGTGCCATCCACCAACCCCCACCTCTCAAGGTCATGTCCCCAAAATCTGCTGATGGCAGACTTGCCGTCCCACCCACAATGCCCCCCACCCCCACCCCCTAGTAGGTTAAACACAGATCAGCCAATGAGTGAGGGGAGTCTAGCAGGGGGGAGGGGCAGCACAGGGCACACACCTCTGCCTGCTAAAAGCTCCCTGTCAGCACAAATCTCCGCTGCAATGCACAAGACCCTGGGCTGGGCTGGGAGATCCCGGGTAACAGCTTCTCATTAGCATTAACGTCAGACAAGTAAGGGCTGTTAACTGCTCAGGTTTAAGCAGCATGCCCTGCCACAGGTGCAGAGCTGCCAGAGCATGGAACAGCACTCGTGTCCCTGGGTGACCCTTATGGGCACTGCCTTCCTGGGAACAGATCCTCACCACTAAGAGCAATGAGACACACGGAGAGCACAAATCCCTAAGTTTACTTAACATACTATGATGACACACAGCTTGTAACCTGGAACAGACGGACTGCAGCATGAACGAATATGGTTTCCCTCAATATAGCATGCTGCAGTTCCAGCAGAAGTGATACAGAAGAGGGGACTGACTCCTGTGCAGCTGATTGGTCAGACAGCTGTCCCGGGGATAATTGACCTAGAGGTTCCTCATCAGCACTGATTTCCACACCTCCTCTGTAATACAGGGGCAGCCAGCCGGACCCAAAAGCCCAAGTGGGCCTCATTTCTGACTGCCCAGCTGCTCACAGACCACCATTATCCAATCAATGGTTGTTGTGATAAGAATGGATTCTATCTCTATAGAGAATGCGGGGATACTGGAAGCCGTTAAAAAAATAATAGAACCTTCTGGACCAATGCCCAGTGAGCCTGGAGATCTGCAGCACAGCACCAGCCAACAGCACCCACAACAGAGCCCCCAGTGAAACTATGGCACAGGGGATGCTGGGGACCAGCTGAAGAGAGAGATCATCCCACTCAGGGGACCCACATCGCTGCTCTGTAAGGTTTAAATCCCCCTTGTCCCACAAATACAGACCACTTTGTTTACCGTTAAAGGAAAAGGCTGGAATTAACTTCCTTTGACCAGAAAACCTCTTGATGCCACCACAGCTAACAATATTCCTGGGGAAAAAACCCTGATGTCTTACTTGATCTCTTGGATTTAGGTTCTTAAAGATATGCTCTAAAGCAGCGTTTCCCAATCCAGTCCTCAGGGACCCCACAGCAGTCCGCAATTTTGCTCCCTTCCAGCTCCCAAGGTGCCTGAATCAGGTATTCATTGTTCTTGATTGGCTGGAAGCTGGGAGAAAGTAAAAATGTGGACTGGCTGGGGGTCCCTGTGGGCCAGGTTGGGAAACAGCGCTCTAAAGTTTCTCATCCTCTTGTAGATTCACTATTAGCAGATGCTAGGGCCATTCTCTGCCACTGGCCCCTCCCAAATAGTATCAAAGTTTGCGGTTTTTTCCCCCAAAGTTCATTGAGACCTGGGAGGGCTAGGTTTTCTGAACCACCTTGGAGGAATGCAAGAAAAGCAAAGATCTAATAAAAAAAAACATAAAAGTTTAAAAACAGAAGATACTTACAGCTGATGCAAGTCAATCACTGGATTTGTGGATTGTCAATAATAGCAACAAATTTATTTCTTATACAATTTCTTGACTAAAAAAGTGGCACGACATGACAGAAACTTCACTCAAGCTGCGAGTGTATATCTGAAATCCTCTCCTCCTGCTGGCTCCAGTTGAATGCTGAGAGTAAATATGGAATTTTTTTTCCTCTAAAAAAACTTTGGTATTTATATTTGGAAATACCACATGTAAAGTGCTAACTTTGAACTGCGGAATAACACCGATAAACCACAAACGAAAGCAGCTCCAAAAGCAAATTCTGCTAAATACATGGAAATACAAATCATCGATGTTCAGGTCATGAGAAAATCAGAAACTTACGCATGATATCAGCGTTGGTGTAAAAATAATGAGCCAATGTTTATCAGATTGAGCTGGACAGGTGATTGAAAGGTTTTTTAAGAGGAGGAAAAGGCATGCAAATGGAAAAAACAGTCTTTAATGTGTGCCACTGTGTCGAGAGATCAGTCAGACAGGGAGGGAAGTTCTCCAAATGGGAGATATTTCAGAAAGATTCAGTGATGGGTCCTTAACTGTCTGCTTGCTTGCAGTGAACGTGCCCAAGAATAGCAACACATTAGCAGAAGAATTACTAACAGAAGCCTCTTTAAAAGACAGACGAGTTTTAAAAAATGTTTTAAAAATAAAAATCATAGAAAGGTGCCCAAACAATACTGCCTGCTATTTTCTTTGTTACGGCTGTGTGGTTCTAGGCATTATTGAGTGAAATTAGAAATGCGTTTACTTTTTGAGGGGAACTTTTGTCTTGCCTAGAACACAAGTTTAATTAAGGTGATAAAGTTTAATGTGGAATCCATACCTTAATAAGCTTAAGTGGGCTCTCTCTAATAAGTACAAATTTAGGATGCAACATCAAAGTCATGCTGGGCACTGTCTCCTTCACTCTCCTTCCTCAGGACAGCTAGGTATCTAAGAACTCCATATATGATATGTAAAAATGAGAAGGAGATACACAGGCTTTGTATTTCACATCTGGCCCCCACCTGACAGGACGTTTAATACTGAGTACTAGGCAACTGCTTTATTGTCAAGCACGAAGTTCAATCTTTCTGGAGATACCGAGGATATAGGGGATGATGATCTCCCGTTAAAATGCAAGTAGGTGACCGCAACACTGGCATCCCATTATACCCGGGATATCCTTACTTGTGTTTTGATCTGAAGACGACATCTCGTCCTACAGTGACTCCCAATTCTGGCCATTTAGGACCGCAAATAAACAAACCGCTGACATAATTCAACACCAGATCGCCTGAAACAATTCGAAACTAAATAACACATACTCATACAATCACATAAAATCACGCAAAAGTTAATACTGCGCGTCCATTTGGGTCGGCAAAGAAGGGAAAAGAAGCAGTGCTGGAGCATGCAGACGTGCTGGGACACAAAGGCGAGTTAATTGGACCCACATCTGCAAGTTCGCAGAGCAGTTCAGCGGGGCGAACCGATCCGATCTGCCCCGACACCCCGACCGTGGCGGCGTAGCGCTCCTTGGCGTTAAGGTGCCACAGCTAGCTCGTCTATGCGCTTTATTCAATTGATTAGCTACGTATGCTACGGCCGGGGTGTCTTTTTTAAATTATTAACTGAAAGATGCAGCGGCAAACACAATCCAGTGTGCAATGGCTATCCGACGTGCAAGACCAGTAAGTGCGATAGATGAGACGCGGAAAAAAAACGCGCTGCTATAATGCATTGCGTGGCCGTGCATTGTGCAGAAAGAGGCACGAAATACGGTAAAACGTGTACCTTTGGCTTCAGTGTTCCCGGTTACGTTACAGTCTGTAACATAGTAACTGGAGAGGACAATGTGGTGGTAGTTACATACTACTCATCCTTTTTTTAAAGTGCACACCCTCGACGGAACCCAAAAAAAACAACTGGATTTACAAAAGAACAAATGAAAATTGACGAGAGAACGACCAACACGGCTGGCCGATTATTAAGTTATCCTTCAAAAAGTGGGTCCAGCGGAGCTTAGCTGCTGGTTCCGCGGTTGACGACACCGCACGAACTCCGTCGATGTCACCGGGCGGGCGGAGCCGTCGGCGCGGCACCCGCCCTCCGCCCCCGCCCCGTCTTTTACCCCAACCGGGGGGTCACAAGCCCAAAACCCTCCGAGGAGGAGTCGAGGGGAGGGACTGACGCTACTTAAAAAGGTGAAGTGAGGTGTGCGGAGGCGACAAACTGCACGCCGATACTGCCTCGTGTTAAAGCAGCCCGGTCTTGCTGTGCGAACACATATTTTTGCACAGTATTTCTACAACATTTTATATCTGACTTGCTACGCTATACTGGACTTAATACAATCACTTCAATCTATATTCCACAAAGACCTTTACAATATGCATTTATATTTCTGAAAGCACCATGCAATTGCTGATAATGGAATAAAATGTCTGAGACTGTGCAATAATAAGAATGTAAGGTAAATCGGTGTACCGTCACGTCGGCGCTCGGGGACGGTCCTTCCGTGGCCAGGCATGAAGAATGCTTCAGCGAATCGCGTTTCGGGCCCCACGAGCCACCGGGCATCCCCGAAGTTCAGACCCGGTCGGCGGCGTCGGCGGTGCGCATGCGCCGAACACAACCGATTCCGGGCTCCGGGAGCACGTGCAACGTGAACGGTGCCTAAAACCTTGTAATTACCTTGTAATTTTATTATTCGGAAGGAATGTCTTCCTCAGAGTAAAACGCACACTCCTTCCCGTCAGCTTCCAACAGATTAACTGACAGATGTTCAAAATGACTTTAAAACTACACAATTCTCCTGAATTTTTCGTTAAATTGATTCCCGTACTTACGTTCCCTTACATGTATTTTTAAAATGTACATCAATGCATATAATGAAACACTTCTGCCAACAATCACAGCACAATTTTTAATGATTCTTCTTGGAACTGTACATAGCGAGTAGACCAAAAGCATTTTTTCCCATAAATACTATTAAAAAGAAATTGAAGGACAACACATTTCTTGCGGGTTATCCGATAGGCTAAACTGAGGTTAAAATCTCTTAATCAAACAATTCAACTATTGTAAAATGCCAGAAGTTGTAAAATGGTTGGTTCATTCCGCCGAATGCTGAGTCTGCCCTGGGTCTCTCGGAATGCCTTGCGAGTGTACTAAGCGGGTAAGGGGAGCTGACGGGGCCACAGACCTCACCTGTAAAAGTGTCACCTTTATTGCAGGTGCAGAGCATGTGTGCATACTGAATGCATTCAGTTTGGATCAGGTACACTGCAAAGGATCCGTGGTATTACTGTACAGCTCAGCACTGGGAGCAGCCTGGCTAATGTTAGCGCTAGGCTACATTGGCCTTCTGTGAGTGTGTAGATGCCTTTGTTGGGGGAGGGGGTGGGGATTAGGAGTACTATATTTCAGCATCCAGGCCCATGGTCTTGTGTTGGATAACAAACCTGATTGTGATTACTGCAGGAGCAACCCCACCTCCCCAGAAGGAGCATTCCCTAGGATTTTAATCCCCCATTTCTGGGAAACAAACATACATATATAGAAAAGTTAAACAAAGGTAAAAAAAAAGTTTTAATCCCCTGCCAAGGCGTACATAAAAATCTACTGTGTTTCCCTCCGAGTAAGGAGGAGCCAATCAGAGAGCTGCGCCCGGTGCCGCCCGTTCAGCAGCACATGGCTGCCCTGTCTCCCCTCACCTGGCGGCCCGGATGGCACGCTGTGCCCACAGCATCCTCCATGTGTGTCCAGCTTTTAAAAACGAAGCCGCCAATGATGATCGTTTCTGCCTGCGGTTCCGACTGCATGCATGCCGTCGCGGAGGACCGCGCCTTTAATGCGTGATTCTAATGAAAAACAAGCTGCTGTCCTGGTCATCAGACTGCTCTGCATATATATATATATATACACACACACACCGACATACAAAGCTCTGGAAAAAATTATGAGACCACAGCAAAATTTTCAGTTTCACTCATTTCTCAGTTTATGAGTATGTGCCTCTGTAAAATACACATTTTTTTGCAAACTCCAACCTGGCTCTTCCCTGCTTCTCATTAATGAAGGGCTTCTTCCTTGCTTTATGGGTCTTCAGTCCTGCTTCTAGAAGCCTGATACAGACTGTCCTAGCAGTGCACTTCACACCACTTAATGTTTCCCATTGTTTTTGAAGGTCACTTGATGTCATCCTCCAATTTATGAGGCACTGCCGGATAAGTTGACGGTCATCTCTGGCAATAGAAAGTTGCTTCTGCCCTCTGGCTGGCTGTTTTTTGGTCATTGCCAGTGTCTCCTGCTTCACCTTGTTCTGCTGTCTTAGAAAATCTGAGCCTGGAAGCAACCTGCTGCTCAGTCTAGTCTTCTGCCAGCAGAACCAGGATTAAACCAGGATTTAAAAATGCAGATTTTTAAAATATATAGTGGTCTCTTAATTTTTTCCTATGTGTGTGTGTAAGTAACATATTAACATATAAAAAATATGGCATGTGATGAAAATAAGGATAAAGCAGTTTAAGCTTGATATCTTCCTGTCAGTGTTCACTAGGTTACATTGGAAACTTACACTCACAGGTTGAAAATAATCACTGAAATAGCACACGATTACCACAGCACATGGTCTAAGAGGACACATTCTAACACACACACTCTGTGTCACTAAGGCAGATTCGAGTAACTTAAAAACGAGGTCAAAATAGCAAGTTTATCAGTAACCTCTGAACATCCACATGAGGCAACATGTTAATTGGTTATGTCACATGACCATTCTGGATGGCTAGGGTTTTTTGCATTATGAATACCATCAGTCAACTAGTAATTAATCTTAAATGCTAATCCATATGCCATATAGAGATGAGAGAAACATTTTCTGTATTTTTCAAACTGAAATTACACTCTCGAGTGTGCATTTAGGTTTGGATTAGCTTTTCATTTTAAATATTAATGGAGGCACGTAGAGACTGAATTACCAATAAAAACACATCAAAACAAATCTGTTTTTTAAAATCAAAGTGATACATGAAGTAGCCTGCGCCTGAGGTCACTGGAGGTCTACTCACGTTTGTCGGTCTGAAGTGACACATCTGAAGTCTAACCTCACAGGGCACGTCCTTCATCTGGACAGCCTCCTCCATAGCAATCACATAAGAGCGCTTCAGGGAGCCCCTCATGGCTCTGGGCTGCACACCAAGACATTCATGCTTATTTTCACCAATCACAGTACTTACAACCCCCTTTAAAACAATGGGATCGTTCCCTCTTACACTTACTTATCGGGTTTTAATATTACCGCTCGACCAAAGGAGCATCAGTACTGTTATTACCGGTCTAATACCAAGATTAAAAATAATAATAAACACACTCAGTCAGTGGAATGTTATCTTCAATTTGAAGTCAGATTGGTTTTTGTCCAGCGGAAGAAAAAGTTTTGGTATGAAAGTTTAAAAAGAATTAAATGTAATAAAGCCAAACTGGCCTCGCCCATTCCTCCCAGTCCAACCAGATTTGTTCTGATTACAGACAGTGGAAGCTGTACACTTTCCCAACCTGAGGCCATTGAACATTTAACGCTGTTGCCCTGGAAAGCTGCGTGATTCTTTCCTGCTGAAAGTTAAGCTCACATTGGCACAGGGTGCGTGATACAGCTCCGTGCTTTTTGGCGAGGCCCAGAACCGGGTGCGCGGACTTCCCAAGAACTCCACGTGATACTTCTGCATGCCGCCATCACCGCCGAGCTTCACGCATTCCCCCGATTCCGGGTCGGGGCTCAGAACGGCCGGCCACCTGACACACAGGAGAGCTGGCCATCAACCACTTGACAGTACTGATAACATAACAGGGATGCAGGCTAACCGCCATGGAGTGTAAGGAGAAAGCTCCACTTCTGTCTTAAACCTTCTTTCCTATGCAGTTGCTGTAAAACAATCTTTCATCTCAATTAATACATACCGTCATTTGATAACCCTCGCTAAAACAATGTCTGCCAAAGTTGTTTTCTTACAGCATTTGTAAACAGTCCCCTTTTGCACATTGCTTAATAAATGTAAACGTGAAAGGAAGGCAGATTTTTCTTCAGGCATCTGCGGGGACACTGTACCAGTGCCAGACCTTGGCGCTGAACTGCCGCTGTAACGGCATGCGTTGCAGCTACTGAAGAAATGCGTCAGAATGAACACGCTGGATGCAGTGTCGCACAGCTTCATTTACACCAAGGTAAGTAGCTACGCCACACTAGGGCAGCGGAGTTTGGATAAACAGCCACAGCAAAGCAACAACAGAACTTATACAAGGAGATAATTACATTTTAAAGAAGATTTATAAGCATTTTAAAGAAGCTTTTTGAAGTTATACCCTCATACCTCTAGCACGGATCTTCTAAACTGAACCCAGGATTCAACATTCAGTCCATTCATATGGATTAACGTCTGTTTATTTACATGAAAGTAGCCCAGCCTTTTGTTCATGATTGGAGAATCATGGGAATTCCTGTATGTATTAACACCATTGCTATGCTGGCTGACCGTTGTTTCCATGTGCCTTTAAAGCTTTAAAAGACAGTTACATGTAAAAACCTTGTGATAACAGGGTCATGAAATATCACTGCCTGCAGGTGGTAAATTTATCTATGTAATATGCTATCAATGACCTTACTATAAAAAAATCTGTAAGCGGTAATGAGCCAGAGGGTTTATAGATTAAATGATCCCTGTTAGATAAGCGTATTTCAGGTACGCTTCATTAACTTCAGGATAGAGGGGCTCCTGAGCACTGATCCAGGATCAGCTTCATGCCTTCTTATTGTAACAGCTGGTATTATGAGCAAAACTATAAAAGGTCTCACTCTCATTCTTCAAAGAGCCCAGTTTTTAAGAGCCTAAGTTATACATTTCCTCTATGCTTTTATTAAGTCCTTGCACCATGTTTAAAGGATATGCTGTCACCAGTGCTTCTGTTGACACGACTGTGCTTTTTAAAGAGCTTCCCGACCTTGGCCTCTCGCTAAGGCTGTCTTACCATGGCCACCTGCCTGCTTTCACCATCAGCAAGGTCCCGACGGGAAGCTGGCAGCGCCTCCCCCTCAGCTCCTGGGAGACGGAGCGGTGACAGAACGGCTCCGGGTTGGTTCGACCGCTCCACAGCTGATCCGGATCGAATGTGCAGCCATCTCTCACAGACTGCTGCCTCCTTTTGAGGCCTGCCTCAGAGTCATGCTTCACCAAGGCCCTGTCCACGTAAAATGGAACCTCCTCCTGCTGCTCGCTCTGACTCTGGGACTCCATTCCCTCTGGGCGAAAGGAGGCTGCCACTAGCTGGCCTAAGACATGCAGAATTTATCAGCGAATATTTACTCTCTTTAATAGGTATTATCCATGGCACGACAACACGGTCAGGTGACCCAGTTAACGGATGAGAAATTCTTATTTCTGAACATGAAGAAAAGTATCTACTACCAATTTGTATAATGATGACCTGTTTCAACAGCTATTAACCAGGCAATACACTGCCTTTGTTTTTGCTTAATTTTCATAGCATTTTCGAAGGACTGTTTTAGGCTCCTTTATGCCCATAAATATTAAAAGTGAATTAAGCTTTTTTTTTTTTTGCTTATAAAGTACATTACCTCAGTACCTATAATAATTATTGTATTCTTTTACCTGAAATCCATCCATCTTCTGTACCTGGTTATCCAGTACAGGACACATACACTTACACAATATGGGCACTTCAGATACACAAATTCACATACTTTTGGTATGCGAGAGGAAACCCACAGAAATTGTACGAGGGGTGGGAATCAAACCCATAATGCTGGTTGTGAGCTGGCACTGTACTACTCACAGAGCCACCAGGTTATGTACATCCATCCATCTTCTCACCATTTAAACCAGGCAGCATCATATGGGGGGCTGGAGCTTTACTTTGGAAGGATTCCATTCCCTCACAGGGCACATACACACACAGATGTCAGTTAACCTACTATGTGTTCCTCAATCCCGTTCTCAGGGACTCATAGTCGGTCCATGTTGCTCCCTCCGAGCTCCCTGCCAGACAGTCCGCATTTTTGCACCAGGCTGGGAGGGAGCAAAAACGTGGACTGACTGTGGGTCCGCATGGACCAGATTGGAAAACATGGGCCTACTATATGTCATTGGCATTGTGTATGCGGGTTTTCGCAGCAACTCCCTAATTAGGTCACTAATTAGAGGACTCATTGGCTGAAGAGTCCTCACACCTGGGTTTGAACAGCTGACCTACAGGTTATCCCAAAAACCTGCATACACGCCGGCCCTTTGCGGATAAGATTGGCCACCCCTGAGCTAGAGGAAACCCACCAGGCAAGGGGAAAACAAGCATGCTCCACACAAACGCAGACAGCAGCGCTACTCACTGCCACCATGACACCAATATATGTACATGTAGAGCCAAAATAATACAGTGGCAATACAAAATATTTACACTGAGTTTTGGCAAGTAGCAAATGAACATCACACTGAAACCACATAATGTATCAACAATGGTAAGACGAGTTTCAGTGGTTTCAGCCTCCAAAGAGAGAAACATAGAGACCTTTAGTTATATGTATAACACAGTGTAAACATTAATATTGTTCTTTTGATATTTTTTGCAACTAACTATATTAACTCTAACCAAAGAACGTGCTATTTTGAAGTGATAACCTGGAGTAACATTTACAAGTTATTTTAGTTATTTAATTTTAAAAGACGTGAAAATTATATAGTAGGAAAGATCATGTAACTAAATACATTATATTTCATTACAGTCTCAGGTTTTTGCGTTAAACATTCACGAGAAGAAAAATTAGACAGCTGCCCAGAGTCATTTCTGAAATAATGCCTTTTAAGCTAAGATCATTAATCATGCCACGGCGTTATTACCGAATGGCACGGTGTCTTAAAGCGTAACACTTTTGCCTCACGACTCTGTTAAGTTTAAACGTTCACCCTGTCGCGCGGGTTTTCTTATTCGGTTTCTTCACCCAGTCCAAAGACTTGCTGCGAGGTTAATCAGTGTCTCAAACAGTGTGACTGTGTGGTTGCGTGTACAGTATGTGCCAGGCGACAGACTGGCATCCCATATAGGGTGTACCTCAGCCTTGTGCCACAACTGCCGCGGAAAGGCTCGGGGCTAGCACGCGATCATGACTAGGACATGCGGTTACAAGGTGAATGACACAAAGAAATACATATGTTAAAAATAAATACTGAGTACCTAAAGCCGCTGGGTGATTTGACTCACTATCGGTTTAGTCGTATCACGTGACTATTACGTCACTTCCGCATTTAGTCCCGGCCGGATGAGCCGTTTCCGGTCCCGTGCCTCATCTTCAGTGTTTTTTAGACCGATGGTGGTCGGAAGCGATCGAGTCGAGGGGGGATCGCATTTTTATAGTCTTATTATGAAAACGTGACCTGTCCCGATGTTATTTCCCTATTTCTAATAACTTCCTTTTTTAGAAAAGTTGTATTTTCAGCGACTGGTAAGTGGCTAGCTGGCTGAGTAACCAAAAGTGTCAAAGTTGACAAACTAGACAGCCAGGAAGTCAAACGGAATCATTTATACAGATTCAAATGGTTGGATCTGTTGTTATGTATGAGATATACAGCCGATTTTGTTGCATTTCTCAAATAAGGATATGCCGTGTCATTCCACGGTCAGTCCGTGATCATTCCTATTTTAGTTGTCATCTGAAGTTCTTTGATGGGCATACTGGCGGACCAGCTATTTTCTGTCTTTTTTTGTTTGGGGTTATTCTGCCAGCTGATTTCACATCACGTTATTAAGGCTGTCGTTTGGTGTGGGTGGGTGTGTGTGTGTGTGTGTGTGTGCGCGCGCTATATATATATATATATAATAATAATAATAATAATGGTGTTTCTTTGTTTGCGTCTACTCCAGTACCCGGTTTGTGCACTTTACCTTTCGTTTTCGTCTTAGAGTTGACCGGCTAGCTAGCAACTTCCAGGTCAGGAAAGGGCTCAGAGAGCACCGTGTCATGCATGGCTAGTGGGTCATTGTCACAGGATGACTTGAAAAGGTACCTGTGTGATCCCTTTGCATGCATCGTGACTCCTGGTCTTTGGAGTGAAATGCTGCTGGTTGTGGTGGAGCTACTATATAGCTCAAACTCCGGTAAAGCGCTGTACATCTATATAATGTATATCACACACCAGCCAGCTGATCGCACGGCTGGAAAGGGTTGTAAAGCCACAAAACATGCGCTGTTACGCCCTTGAGTGCAGTAAATGTGCTGCATATGGATCAAGCAAACTGTCAGTGTGAAAGGATATCGGATCTGGCACGCTGACACTGCTGATCGTGCTGGAGGACCCATCTAAAGGTTCAAAGTTCCAGTTTATACCATTTATCGTCTAAACCCATGTATGCCTTAAGGGTTTTGATTAAGCGTATCTAGCAATACAATACTTTTAATAAGTATTCGTTGTGCTTTTTGTTTATAGAACCTACCACGTTTATAGACAGGGAAAATGAACTGTTAGTGTCTCTCAAATGTTGTTATAGTTTATTTCTAAATGGTTGCCATAGGCTACTGTTTAAAGTATATTTTAAAATGTATTGAAATATCAAGGCTTTTGTTTGCAGCCAACCTTTCTGAGAGAAGAAGGGCCACTATTCGCAGATAATTTGGAATTATTGCTGAATAATTCATGTAAATTGAATTGAATATATATGTATATATGGTATTTGGTTTTATGGGTGACAATGTTGAAATGCCAATCAGCTGAGACAATAGCCAAACAAAATTATGTAATTTAAATGAATGGTAATTTTGTCTTCTGCAGGTGGGGCACTGGTGACTGGAATGAAACTCTCAGGAGCTTTGATGTGCCTCTTTCAGTTCAGTTCTTAGTGCCATTGATTTGAAAGCCAGTTAAGCTACAGGGAAAAGTAAAGGATGTTTTTCCCATAATAGAGCTAATGGGTATTTCCTCCCTGGTAATGTCTTAACTACTTTGAAAACAAAGATGTAACTTAATGAAGTGTTTACTGGAACTTACGGTACTTTGGTATAATGGCACCTATTGTATTCTACATAGTGTGATTTTTCCACTGAACTTTACTTTAAGCAAGAAATTAACAGTTTAAAAACAGTCTGTCAGATGTCCAGAAATATGTAACACAAAACAAGATCCAGGGACTTTGCTTGACTTTCATCGCCTGTTTGATGGTGAAAAATACAGTCCTTACTGTAGCCCACAAGGAAGGTGAAAGTCAGTGCTATTGTAAGGTAAAGGTGCATTGAAATTAATTCCAGAGCTAGTTTAGGTGCCAGCTGTCAGGCAGATATTACAAATCACACACTGATGGAATTCTAAAACTGTAATGGAAGATGAATGACAGATGAGTCTGACTATTATTCCTGATGATGATTGGTCGAATGCTTTCGCAGGGTAGGGCGTGCCCTTATTGTAGTGCTTTTTTATTGGGGGAGAAGTTCTTTGGCTGTGGGGGGGCAAAATGAAAAGCCATGCCAGTGCATGCTGGGAAATGGCTCTACCCCAGAAGCCCATCGATCCGACAGGCTTCAAGGACTTTCCTGGAAGGTCTGGTCATGCCTCCACGTGGTGGTGATGGAGGATTTGCGGGATGGAAAACAGCTTCTCGTGAAAAGTTTGGGGTGGGGTGGGGAGGGTCACAGAGATCCCCATGAAACTTATGGAGTGCTGTGCAGTCAGCCTGTGCATTTCCTGGGGGGTGGTTTATTTTGTCAAGTGCATCGGTTTGCAAATAGGTACTGCTGCATTCCCAGAGGCTCTCTATAAACGATATTAATTCCATGCAGGAGGACGGGAGCCATTGGCCAGAGAATCTAGGCCCTTCCCAAATTCACTCTGGCCTTTCAGTTGCCCCAGTGTCACCAAAGTGGAATATAGACCTTGCGTCTCTCCCAAACTGCCGTCTGCGCAGTTTTAGACAGCCGAGCAGTTTTTCTGTTGCCCATCTGATGTCGCAGTGCGCAGCCACGTCTGCGAGGTGCAGCATGTCTGCGGGGCTTGTCTCTCACCCCCCCCAAGGCTGAGTCAGAGTTGCCCATCAGCTGTATTAATCCTGAAAAAAATAACTCGCATTTTGATCTAACATCTCACAAGTTTTCCAAAGAGTTATGCAGTTTGGAACTTATACCAGTACCAGTAGACTACTCTGAGTGCGTCAGGGTCTCATTTCTTAGCCCTGAGGTCTAATACCTGCTGTTCTGGGCTTTGATCCTCCTCCCTGTGTGCGTGTATATGTGTGCATGTGTGTGTGCATTTTCTTCCCTTGTATTGCCGACTGTGTGTCTTGCATCCAGGGTATTCCACATGCGCTACACTTCCTGGCATTGAGCTCTGGTTCTCCGTGACTCTGTACTGGATGTGTGTTTATGAGCAAATTCAGGAAAATAACCAAGAAATATGGTTTCCTGGTTGCATGGTCGACCTTTGACCTTTGACTTTTGACCTTCGTCCCCCAGGGCTGGCCATGGATCCGGCAACCATGGAAGACGATATCTGCATCCTGAAGCACGAGACGGCATGCCCGCCGATAGAGAGCCCAGTGTCGGGGTGCCCCGGGGACGAGTCACTGGCCTCGCACTTCGCCCTGGTCACCGCCTACGAGGACATCAAGACCCGGCTGAGGGACGCGGAACAGGAGAACGCGTTACTGCGGAGGCGCGTCAGACAGCTGGAGGACAAGGTGCTGAGCGCCCACATCTGCAGGAATGTTCCGGGGCTAGCCTTCACTGCTCGCATGTCCTGTCCATCATGCTTGGTGACATGTTTCTCTGCTTTTATGAAAGCATTGCTGTACAGTGTTCATAAGAATTCACCAAGGCCTGTCATTGGTAACCAATTATTTAAAATTGACAACAATTCCAGTTTGCTTTGAATTATCTTTGCTGCCCCGTGTACTCAGTGTAAATGTTTCTACAAACTGGCTCTTCCCTGTGTTGTGATGCTCTCTTATTTCTCTTTAGAAATATGTGATGCTGCCAGGAATTTAAGCTCAAAATACATATTACAAATCATGCCTTAATGATAATGAAGTATGTACCCTCTTGTAACGAGACACAAATGAACATTACACAGTCTGAACTGTTCCCATATTTAATGTCACTGCTGTCGAGGCTCCATTTTCCGAGGAGTTTCCAGCTCGGAGCAACACGGGTTTTGTTCAGCTCACAAAACATCCAGTTTCATCTGTGTTATGGACGTTTCCTATCAGTAACCTCTCTGAGAGCTCGGAAGTGCCATTTTCATGTTTTCTTTGCTGATTTTTGGCATCCACATCAAATTAAAACGCATATTTAAAATAAATTTACCTTTTACTTTGACGACATCTGACAGTCTTCACACAAGGCACGCTACAGATCCTCCCGATTCTAATTTTCACTTAATTCTTTTGTTTTACACTCAAGTTGGTGCTTTTCCTTTTTTTTCCTGTATTTAAAAACAATCTGGTGACAAAACAGAAATTGAAATTGCAACAAAACAGTCTTTGAGTTATATAAGCACTACGTCCGGATCAGGACTGAAGAAGTCGACCATTAAATCTGCAACCCATAAAACTGAGGGTGTGCTGCATATGGATTCCTTGTTTTAAAAGCTTTGAAAGCTCTTTAATAGGCTGCAGTTTTTTATGACGTTTGCGCCTCTGACTCTTACTGAGAAAACGTCACCCCCATGTGTCCTACTTTGTTACTGCACAGCTGTACAAACCAGAGGAGGCCGCTACAGATGGTCAGCGGTACGTCAACAAGGCCTACAGCGCATATCGGGGCATCTACATCCAGAAGAAGGACCTGCAGATGGAGCTCAACAAGCTGGTATGATGTTACCGGGGGGGGGGGGGTATGGCTTGGAATATACGGCTTGCGGGGTCTCGCTTAGTGGCACGGCAGCATTACACTTCTGGGGACTCTTTGAATATTTTTGGGGCATTTTGCTAGTTCATGCAGTCGCATGGTGTCATCCACAAGCAAAATGGCTATTTATATTGCTGCCAGTCTTGGAAGGCAGGCCTGTTGCGTTTCCATCCATGCAGCTCTCGTTTGTTTGTCACGGGTAGGTCTCGGGCGGGCAGTACACGCACAGCGGAGGCAGCATTCAAACCCCCGACCCTGGAGCTATCAGTCACCAGTGCTGGCCGCTTAGCCGCCATGCACCCTCCTCCTCACTATCCCTAATTTTCAAATTTCCATTCGGCGATTTGTGCTTGTGATACACTAATTTCAACCCTTAACTGAAGGGGGTCCTATAGACCCCTATTATTCAAATCACGGTCCTCGAGGTCCGATCCCTGCTGGTTTTCCAGCCTTCCTTTACCCGTGAGCCAGGTGTGAAGCCTCTGACCAATCAGAATCAGTAATTATTAAAGTAACTGCCTGGGAGAACTGAAAACAAGGCCTGGATTTGGAATCGAGGTCCAGATTTGAAGATTCTGCCATAGATCTTCTGCCCATAGCCTTTGAAGGGAGGGGGCAGGAGACCCTGACACAAAGACCAGACCCGGCTGTGCGTCGAGGCTTAAAAAGCGGGGCGCCCCCTCCCCCAGCCATTTCTGAGCAGAGCGTCTTCGTCGTGCTCCAGTGCGTGTCTCTGTCTTCAGCAGGACGCCGGCCTCCTCAGCTTTTATGTCCTCCCCAGTCTGAATGCGTGTCCTCTCTGAGCCATTCCCCCCTATGTCTTGGTTGGAGGGAGATGCTGAAACTAACATGTAAGCCCCCCCCCCCCACACACACACTTCAGAAACAGGAGAAGAGTGAGTCAGAGAGGCTCCTGACGGATCAACTGCAGGCCCGGGAGCTGGAGCTGCTGCAGCTCAGGACGGAGATGGAGACCAGTCAAGGTGCGACCTGTGTGTGTGTATGTGAGTTTATGTATGTGCTGACCACCAGACTAATGGCAGTGTATTTGCCCGGTCTCCTTCAGTGATGCGGAGTCTGAGTGCTTCCCACATGGGCACGGTGAACAGCGAGCTGCAGATCCAGACCCTGCAGCAGGAACTGGAGAGGCTGAGACTGCAGTGTCAGAACCTCCAGGAGAAATGCCAGGTGGGACCTCTGCCTGTCTCTCTCTCTGTCTCTGTCACTCTGTCTCTGTCACTCTGTCTCTGTCACTCTGTCTGTGTCACTCTGTCTGTGTCACTCTGTCTGTGTCACTCTGTCTCTGTCACTCTGTCTCTGTCACTCTGTCTCTGTCACTCTGTCTCTGTCTATGTCTGTGTCTATATCACTCTGTCTGTGTCTATGTCACTCTGTCTGTGTCTGTCTGTCTGTGTCTCTGTATCTTTGTGAGTCTGTGTGTGTGCGCATGTGTGTGCGTGAATGTATGTCCGCAATGTGGTAAAACCTGTTATTTTTCAGGTCCCCACAAAATGAACCAAATGCCAAAAGTCTGTTATTGTTTTTGGTTACTTATGGTTAAAGTTATGGCTGGGTAAGGATGAAGATTGTCATTGTTAGGATTAAGGTTTTTCTCATAGAAATAAATGGATTACAGTGTTTCCTCTAGGATTTTTTTCCTCCCAAAGGGGTTTTGTTGTACCTGGGTAGTGTGCATACTTGGTTCATTTGAGAACAAGTAATATTAGGTAATTCTCTCACATCACAAATATTTGATCACCCAACCAGTAAACACTGCAGATGCTACCTCTGCCATTGCATACTGCAAAAGCAGAAAACATTTCTCTCCCTCCGTAGCTAAAGTAACATTACCTGACCATCTTCCTCATGTTAGGCATCTTTCTCTTCTTGGGGAAGAAGAACAAACTCATCTGAAAATGCAGTCAGGAATATTTTATTACGTAGCTTGTATAAACATCGTTGGCAATTATTTTACTGACGTTTATTGAAGTAATGTTACGGGTATTCTGATTCACCGAGTTCGCTAATGTTAACGTTAGGTTAGCTAGACCATAATTTCATGATACATTAAGAATAATAATTAGTTGGCCATGAACATAAATAGAGAATTACGTCACATTGCGAATGTTCTTTTAAACCGTAAAATCTATCTAACTTAACGTTGGCCAGTTAAATCGACCTTTCTTTTACTTCTCTCCTGTCAGCCTTTTTCTCTCATTTCTCTCCTCCTGTCGGGTGCATGGATCATAGATATCTGACTGAATACATGCATATGTGTCGTCACGTGTCTCCACTCCCTGTATCTTTCATTTCAGATTGATGCCTTTTGCAGACTCGTGTAATTGCAATTTCATGTCATTTCATAAAATTCTGAAGCAGCAGCGGCAATAAATGAATATAGCAGAAACACTGGAATATATATGTGTGTGTGTGTGTGTGTGTGTGTGTGTATGTGTGTGTGTGTGTGCTCGCGCGCGCGCATGCATGTACACTCAAGTTGAGGTGCAGGAGAAGTGTATACATTGCACTGTTAGGACCTGTTATTTTGACATTGTGGGGACCATTTTTGAGGTCCCCACAAAGATATGTGAATGCAGTCAGAAAACTTAAAATGCTAGATGTCTTGTATTTTGTTTGGTTACTTATGGTTAAGGTTAGGGCTGGGTAGAGGTTAAGGTTGTTATTGTTAGGGTTAGGGTTATGCCCATAGAAGCGAATGGAGAATGCATACAAAAATATAGATACCTAATCTGTGTGTGTGCACATGTGTGAGACCCTTACAGTCTGCCTGCCTTTATCATCCTTGTTCTTCTTCATTGCTGTTCAGGAGCTTCCTGAAATGCCAAGCAGGGGTGCCAAGCAGAACCAGGAAGTGGAGTCTCCAACTGGGTATGTCCTGAGCCCTGTCTGTCTGCGCTGGGTATGTCCTGAGCCCTGTCTGTCTGCGCTGGGTATGTCCTGAGCCCTGTCTGTCTGCTTTGGGTATGTCCTGAGCCCTGTCTGACTGCGCTGGGTATGTCCTGAGCCCTGTCTGTCTGCGCTGGGTATGTCCTGAGCCCTGTCTGACTGCGCTGGGTATGTCCTGTGCTCTGTCTTTCTGCGCTGGGTATGTCCTGAGCCCTGTCTGACTGCACTGGGTTGGCTATATACCAACCAAGGGGAAACCGCAAACATAAGATGCAGATCTAGTGAGTCTGGGCCACACTGCAGGGAATGAGATACCAATAGCATCCAGTCTTGCCAACTTTAATTATGCATTAAACTTGTAAAAATACTAACATTCCAAATATTGAAATTGATCTTCAGTTACATAGACCTGTGTGTATATAGGAATTTATTTGCATGGATTAATGAGTTACAGGCTATTTATTGGTCAGAATCAGCAAAACTTCCTAGCCGCACGTTTGATCACAGCGTTTCGTAACCTTACAAGCATCTTAACGGTCCTTGGTGGTCCAGAACCAGCACTTTGTAAAGACTTTTTTTCTAGTCCCTTCCATGGCCTTTTCTGGGCCGCTGTAAGCCTGGGCCCTCTCTCCTATGAAACGTGTCCCATACCAACGTGCAAACGGATCACTCTGTGAATTTTATCACACCAACACTCCAATTATCCTCCTGTCAGAGGCTTTTCACTTGATAATGCACACCCAATTAACACCTCTCCCAAGGCCTAATAGTGGGGATAATTGTCCTGCTTCCCCCATCGAGTGCATGTGCTGAAGGCGAGAGGAAAATCATGTTTGGCATGTAATGATGCCTGCTGGCCACTAGGGGCCAGTCAATTACTTCTCTTTCATTGGCCTTCTCTAGCAATGATGGATCTTCTGTGTCTGTGGGTATTAACTGATGCGTAACACAATATTGTAACTTTATCTTACACCTTTTTGTCTAAGTCTTGTATGGGAACTGAGGGTCATTCATTTCAATATGAGCAGTTAGATGCAAATTTGTAACCTTTTGACCTGAAGCTTGTCTCTGATTCAGTGGACACATAGTTTCACTAATTTCAAGCACTCTGCATGTTAGCTGTTACTTCTGCCACAAGGGGGCACCAAGACATTAACGAAATGAGATTTGTAAAACCACATCCTTCAGCCATGATACATGTGAACCATCTGACATCAGCAGCTCGATTTGGGTGAGCGAAAGAGTTTCTAATTTCGTTAAAAGCATCTTTGAATTCCAGGTGATTTTTGTTATCGTTCCTGAACAGCCACTCCCTCCATGATTTCTAAATCATTGAAGGTGGAAATGGACTGCACCAGTCTTGGGTCTTCTGTAATACGAAAGCGATTCTGGGAGATGCTGCTGGTGGTTACTATCTGCAGAAACACCCCCCTCCCCCCCACGCCCATCAGCCCTTGGGCCACCCCGCCTGTTTTCCTTTGAATTTGCCCTTTACTGTTCGGAAGTCTCCTTCCAGTCAGTGCTAAGTAAGGGTGTAACATGCTTGGTTGTTGTTGCGCGTGCACTTTGCAGGAACTTGCACCAAGGCCTGAGTAACTGTGACTTTCAGAAGCTCCTGAGGGGGGGGGGGGCTTCCCCTGGATTTTTCGTCGTGTCATACACACATGCAGGGGATGGTTTCAGGTAAAGGAATCGCGCTGCTCTCCTAAGAAAAAAGCAGTGTGTGGCTCAAGATAGCTATTCTTGTTGCTGTGGTACCCCTGTTCTTCCAATAGAAGGCGCTGTTTCCCACACTGGACTGTCACACATAAAGCGGTTCATCTGAATACCACTTGCTCCTTTACTAATACATTTGTACATATTTTGCACAGGACGGCCGGTGGTCGCAGGTTTTAATTTGTCCATGGTTTTGTTCGTGCGCATGATTATTGGTGTGGGTCCCCTTTCTGCCTTTGGGAGAGACCAAAGTAATCCTGCGAATACACAGGTTCTCTGGCATCCTGTCCGTACTGCGCACAGCTGTGTCAAAGGCCCCAGTTTATTGTACAACCCTCATTAGCGAAGATGCCCCTTTAAGACCCTATAGCCCTCCTTCATGAGTGGTGGCCCTGGAATTCCGAAACCATAAAATGTGCCAAAACTGACCGGCGTCGTGTTCCTGTGCCATGTGTGGAGTTTACAGCTACAGCGTGATTAGCTTCACAACAAACTTTTACTGCGTGGAGTTCATCCTTCCACACGGGTCGCTTACGCCTCATGAGCTCAGTGGGATAACAGGGCCTCGGAGGCAGAGAAGTGAGGTTCTGAAATGACTGATGTATTAGTGCCTCGTTCAGTTACTCATCCTCTGTTGGGTAGCGGCTAAAGAGCCGTAGCGAAGCAGCAGTCCTGTCTTCGGTGAATGAGGCGGTGATGTTACGTGAGTTGAAGGCAGCAACCTGCCCTCAGCTGGTCTCTGTCAGTCACCCCGCTGGTCTCTGTCCGTCACCTCGCTTGCCCAAGCCTCCTACCCTAAGGTCTTCGCCGGATCCCTAGGGCTTAAGCATGCACAAGGGTTTTGTCGGTTCTCTTGTTTGTCCGTCGGCCCGTTTGTTCATGAGGAGGCGCCGGCCTGCTGCTGTCGTGGTGACGCTCCCTCAGCTCTGCCTTGAGGATTCGCTGCCTCAAATTTGAAGGAGCGGCTGCTTCAGACCGTGATGAGCCTTTGGCGCCAGTGCAGCTCCCGCCTCAAGCGCTAGGATGTTACTAATTACCCGTCCACACAGAGATTGACACCATACCCGCGGTGTTAAAATCCAGATCCGCCCGAGATATTTTAAGAACATTCACTTAATTCACTTAAATTGTTTGACTACTGATGTCTTTCTGTCCGTCTAACACTTCTGGCCCATGGATTAGAATTCGAAGGAATCGTTCGGCAGGTCACGGCAAGTGCCGCAGCCCTTCCGAGTCGTCGTGGCAGTTGTGTGCCTTGACAACACCGGTTTTCACAATGCTCCGAAGGCCTCTGCCGCTAGTCGGCTAATCATGTATAGCCACTGATTGCCCAGTGGTGTACCAGCATTTCCCAGCATTTCCCAGGAACCTTGATTCATTGACTATGGCAATATAACCCTATAGGCAGCCGCCGATCATCCAAGGGCATCCCGCCATTTCCCAGGAACCTCACCTCATTAGCTTCTTGTGATGCGGAAGCATAATCTGTCTCCACTCCTCTATACTTCTGCTTCTTCATTCCTCAAGGAAGAATCTGTTCTGTTTGTGTCTCAACACAAGGTCTAGTTGACTTAATTTCATAGCTGAATTACCTTTTCCGCATTACTGTCACAGGGTTAATGCAACATCGTTCTATTCTTCTTTTCTAAACTTAGTGGGAATGATTATCATGGTATGGAACATGGCTGGATTGATGGGTCTCTTTTTTTTGTTTTTTACACATTTGCGTCTTTGTGTGGGGGCTTGATGGTTAAGAGCAGGTTGCGTATCCTGGTTTCTCCTGGCAGGGGTGGCACGCTGCTGCAGACGTACGCTGATCTGCGCGGCGCAATGTCCCGCCTGCGCGTGGAGACCAGAGCACAGTCCGAGGCGCTGAGGAGGCTGAAGGACTCCAGCCGGCGAGGTGAGATGTCACTGGCCAGGTGCATTGTGGGAAGGCGTCCACCTCACCATCCATCTTCCTGCTGTTGCCCTCACCCCCCCCACCCCGGAATGTCTTTGTATCTGTACACCCGGTCAGGCTTGGAACGTCTCGTCTTTTAGGTTGACCAGTCTTAGCACCCCCATTCACCCACACGCATGTACAGAAATATAATCATGCACGCACGTGTGTGCACACAAACATAATCAAGCGCACACGCATGTACACATGTATACACTAACAATTGCACACCTGCATGTATGCAGTCTCCCATGTGTGCTATAATCACATACACGCGTGTATACAAAGTCATGCTCACACAAGTGCGCGCATAATCACGCGCACACACGTGTACATATACATAATCACATACACACATGCATGTAAACCTACATAATCACACACATGCGTGTACACAAACATAATCACGCATAGAAGCACACGTAAATCAGCATCTTTGACGTCCACTAAGTGGTCTGCGACCTTGACAGTTCTGACAGTGGCTCCCATATTTCAGTCCTTTAAATGTGTATTTTTTTTGCCTTTTTCCCCTCTGTCTTTATGTGACTTGTGGCTTCAGTTTGGTGGTGAATTAAGTTTTTATTATCGTTTTTTGTTGTCGTTTTTTGTGCCCTGCAGTTCCCCTTCGCTGAGGAAGCGCTGTCGAGTTCCCCTTTCTCTCTGATCACCACAAAACCTCCTTCCTCTTTTCCCCCCCCCACCCTCCGCTCCCCAAAACACCACCC